GTGTCTTCTCGGCACCCCAGGTGCTAGAGACACATCAGTGAACAAGATGGACAGCGGCCCCGGCTGTCTTAGAGGGCAGAGAATGTGAAATACACACACACACACACACACACACATACACACCCGTAATGTCAGATGACAATAAGGGCCAAGAGTGGGGGCACAGGAGGGAGAAAACACCAGGGGGTGCATATGTAGTTCGTTCTTTAACTAATATATAGGATTTACTCACATGTCTATCTTTTTTTCTGTTAAAGATTTTATTTTTTTTAGAGGGGAAGGGAGGGAGAAACAGGGATGTGTGATTGCCTCTCATGCATCCCCTACTGGGGACCTGGCCTGCAACCCAGGCATGTGCCCCGATTGGAAGTAGAACCAGCAGCCCTTTGGTTTGCAGGCTGGCGCTCAGTCCACTGAGTCACACCAGCCAGGGCCTATTCTTTTTTTAGCAGATTGATACTGAGAAATACATTTATTTTATCAATTTGGCTGCCAACGAAATACAATATGAGTTACATACTTAATGTTTCTAGATTCTTCAGAGTGTTAGAAATGAAGGATTCAGCATGGTGCCCCTGCTGAGGCTAGTGCTCCTTGAGCACTTCAACAGCTCCCTGCAGGAGTGACTGGGAATGTTTTAATAATAAGTAGTAAACCATACTTGGTTAGACAGTAGTCATTGCAGGCAATTGGGTTTAGACGTCTACTAAGCATGACCTCTATTTAACCTACTCAGGTTGTCCTCATTGGGACTTTTCACTTAGAACACCATTATAGCAATCATATACTGTATTTTTAGCATCTTATATAAACTTCCCCACAAATGCCCAAGTTATATAATCTCCCCCCCCCCACCCTTTTCCTCTAGCTTCTCACATATTTACAGCAGGGGCAAGGAGGTGTGTTGCAGGGGTGGACGGGTGATGGGGAATCCCTTACTGGTGACAGAAAACATTCATCTTCCACAGGTGGGTGCCCCCTCCTCTGGACGAGGCTGGGTGTGCACCAACAAACTGTGCTTCCCGATGCCTTCCTCTTGCAGTCCCAGCGTTCACCTTTTGCTGTTACATTCTCGTCAGGTGTCATGTTGCTGTTCCTCAGCCCGGAGACTCTCTGCCTCCTCCCATTGTGTTCAAACAACCCCCTAGCGCTGGGGTTCAGGGCTGAAGCACCTGAGGGTTCTAGTTCCCTTTTACAGATGACAAATGTGTTCAGGGAAGCCAGGTGGTTTCCTGACAGGTGTAGAGGTATACACACTGTAAATTCTCTGCGTTCTGTCACCGGTAGGGCTTCTTTAATTAACCCAGCATCTTCTCCCATCTGTGTTCTCATGTATATAACATGAGAGGTGCGAGTGGAGGTCTCTGAAGCCCCTTCCATCTGTGCATTATGTATAGATATGCTACTGAGTATGTCCTGATTACATTACACTTAAGAGCTCACTGTTTTCAATGCAGATTAGCATTTTACCAACTAAAATGGATCAGAAAGAGGACATAATTTTGCTTGACTCTTAAAGCTTAAATTTACTCTTTTTAAATGATAAGAATGTGAAGAAACAAGTAGTAATTCACCCACAGCAAAAAAAAAAAAGTCCAAATACACATCTTCAGCTGGCTGGTGTTCAAGGAAAGCACTGTGCTACGTTACTCTTCCACTCTTTCGTGGGAGTTTACCTAGCTCAGGAAAAGCCTCCTAGCGTGGCGTGGAGGGCGGCAGGGCTACGCAGGCAAGGATGGTGATAAGCATTTTCCAAATTAGGAAACAGATATGCTTTTCTTCTTACTCTCTTACATAACTGATCTATTTTAGAAGACACTAAAAACTGAAGTGAAATACAAATCTCATGATTTTACTACTGTTAGAAAAGACACAAGCAAGGAAGGTTTGAAGGAAAACAGAGGAGAGTCCTTTACTCCTGTCTTCCTCCTGCCCTGGGGGCTGTTTCTCGGGCTTCTCCCTTCTCCAGGACAGCCTGCTGGGTGAGTCAGAGACCAAAGGCCGAATTTTAGAAAAGGAACCAAGAAAGGTACTCCTTCCTCCCTCCTCTGAATTTAAGAAGCGGTGACATCTGAGTGTACACCCTCTTTGGGTGGCACAGAGTGACAGGAGAGTGAGCAGTCCCGGGGCCAGTGATTGTTTTGCCCCAGACTTCCGGATTCAGAGGGAAACTGTGCAGCACAGAAAGGCCACAGAGGCAGTACAGCCTCTTACATAAATTAGTTACATAAATGAGAACCAGTTATGTAAATGTACAAACCAGCAAACATGAATTATGACCATTCACAAACACCAGGGAGATCACGGCAAGGTTCCTCCTACAGGCTCATTTCTTCCCCCCTGTGCTCATAATTGTACCAATTTCCCACCAGAATCGGAGGTGGTTGCCACCTTGATTCAGGAAAGAAACTCCAAAGGACAAAAGATACTTCCCATTATTTTTTGAACTCTATATTGGGAAGTCCATAATAAATCCATCCTGATCTAAACCATGTTTGATAAGAAATACATGTGTGTTCATCGGTTTATATTTCGGGTGTAATTTATCATGAACACACTGCGTATTTACTATTGCACACTATGCAACACACACGTCACTGTCGCTGTGCGTCAGGATACTTGTTGCACCGCTGATGATGCCAAGTCCCAAATGAGCGTGCAGTCAGCTCACTGAAGTCATTCTTCTGCTTATTGAAGGAAGACAGTCATTTGGGAGGTAGAAGTAGATTCAAGCTTATGTACATGAATTAATGTCAATATTCCCCTCCTCAAATGATTAGGAATTGAGCCTTGGGTCTTAGCTGTAATGTGATTCAGGTCTGATGTGAATGATCAATTTGTTTGCATCTGAACCCTGTTGGTACAAGAGCCTCAGCTTTTCCTCATTGAGCTTTTCCCTTGCTCTTATTGGGAAAATATGCCTACATCTTCTCTGAAGTTACACAATTTGCTCCTTGTGTAGTAAAAACACATACAACTCAAAGCAATTTTGAGCCCAACCACCTGTTCTGAATAAAGAGAGATGTTAAATGTTGGCTGGTTTCAGTTGTAACATTTCATCTTCAGGTTAGCATTTCATTTGAGCAGTTAATTTCAAAAATCTCATGTAAAATATTTCTAAGATATAATATAGGAACATTATAGTGGAACCAGAGTTATCTTAAAACCTCTGTAAAATATTAGCTGTGTGATTTTGAGCAAATAACTTTCCCTCTCTGGGCCATTATTTCTAACCATTTGAAAAAGAAAACTTCTGTCACGTCCAGCAATAACAATCTAGTGCCCTATAATCAAGTCTATAAATATTTCAACCTAGAGCTTTAAACTTGCTGCCATCAAGTTTAAAGACAATTTTTTTTTTTCTGTAGGCAAAACTGCAGCCCCTGCTTGGGTTGTAGTGATACCGTGGTGGCCTTGTGAAAAGCATTCATCTTGGTGTTCTTGTTTTAAAACCCTCAGATATAGGCCTTCACTGGCTGCGGGGCAGTGAATGAGTTGTAGAGAGTACGGAGGAAACCTTGGGAACTTGTGGGCTTCCTCCCTGGAAGTGGGGGTGAGTTTTCAATAAAAAAGGCAGCAGTAACTTGGCATCACATAAAACTGCCTGGCCCTCCTAGTCACCTCAAGAACTGGCTGGGGTACCTTGAGACAGGCAGCTAGGAAAATTCCTTGGTGAGTGGAATAGGGAAACTGAGACACGTAGCTGAGCACAATGGTTAAGCAGTTTTCAGCCAGGTGCAGTTGGTCACCAGGGCGAAAGGCCCCAAGTACCTGGCAGGAGGCAAAACTGGGAAAACAAGGACCTCTTCCCCCAGAATAACCTTTCCTCCCAGGCTTCTCTTTCCTAGAGATAACATCTAGGCCTCAGTTGTGTTGCAGCTCCAGGCCCAGAAAAGCAGTAAAACCAGGTGGGGGACTCCAGAACCAACTGCAAGGACTAAAAACCCCCTTCCCTGCCACTGACCAATCAGTGGAGACCATGACCCTGAAAGGCACACCTGGAAAACTGGTGACCGTTCTACTGAAACTTTCCCCTGAGACCTCCCTTAAGATTCCTGACTGTAAGAAAGAATAACCTGGAGACAAAGGAGCCAGCGCACATGGTCCTCAGCAGAGCAGCCTGTGCCATTTCCTGTCCCTTCGTTTTTCCCCCCAGAGATGCATCTCCTAAATGCAAGGCAGCTTGTCCCAGGCTAATTCCCTGAGCCTGTTCCCAAAGCCCCTTTTCCTCTGACTTCCCAGTGAGCTCAGGCAGCCCATCCTAGGCTCTCTTGCTGTTTCTTCTATGCTGAGTCCGTCCTTGTTTCATTGTCTCCAGTTTTAATGGACGTACCCTCAGTCAGCTGGACTCAAGTTGTGAAATCCTTCCCACACGAAGTCAAGAACCCACCTACTACAGCTGGCCCCAGGCAGACCTGCTCAGGGGCAGGCCCTGTCCCGTAACGTTATTTATAAAGTTGACAGATTCTAGACTTCGGGAGTCACAAAGTCATTAGACTGCCTTTTATGCCTTCCTAGGCCCTCTACCTCTGCACGTCCATCTATAACTTGGGCATAAACTAATGAAAATGCAGTCTTGCACCTGACAATTGGGACACTACACAGGGAGGCCCCACGGGCCAGGAAGAGGGAGCAGGTTACCCACCCCGGTGGGTGGGTACATCAGGGGAGGGATTGCGATTTGGGGCTCAGCCCCACGAAGACCTCTCGGAGGTCCAGGAAGCACGCTTTTGAAGAAGAGCTTTAGCAGGTGGGAGGGGAGCAGGGTGGGGAAGCACCGGGGGATGGAGATCTGGGCTTCTGGAGCTTTGTTCAGTTACAAGCCACGCCCTTCTTTCCGGAGAAGCCAATTAGATCCCCGCTGGGGGATCATCTGACATCGCGTCCCTCGCCGGGAGGGGTTTCGGAAGGGGCGGGGCCAGCCCGTCAGCCCCAGGGGGACCCGGGCGGTGCGGGGGAGTCCCGGAGCACTAGCAGAACCCGGCCCCACCCCGAGCCCGCAGGCCCCGCCCCCGGGGCTTCCCGGGCGCGCGCAGCCCCGCCGTGTCCGCGCGCCACGCCCCCCTGCTCTCGGGCCGCGTGCGGAGCCGCGCGCCCCGGAGGCTCCCGGACGGTGGCGGCGGTTGGTGGCGGCGGCGGAGCAGTCCTCCACGGGCCATGTCTTTTCCGGCCGTGGCGAGGAGCTCCTTGAGAGGGAGTCGGGAGATGGCCCCCAGGCCGCGGAGCCGGGGCCGATTCTGGGAAGTGGACGGCGGCAGCGGAGACCGGCTGGAGCGCGCTGCCGCGGAGTCGGAGCGCTGGGAGCTGCTGCTCCGCCGCGGCGAGCTGCTGGCCCTGGGCGGTCACCTGAAGGGAGCGCTGGAGGCGTACGCGGCGGCGCTGCGCCGCGGGGCCCCGGTCAGGCCCGAGTGCCTGGGCACCCTGGTGGACTGCCTGGTGCTCAACTACCGGCTCCGCCACGGGCTGGGCTGGAGCGCGGCGCGGGCAGCGGGCGCGGACCCCGGCGCCAGCGGGCTGCTCAGCTGCCTAGGCTGCCGGGGCTTCCTGAGCGAGCCGGTGACCGTGCCCTGTGGCCACAGCTACTGCCGCCGCTGCCTGAGAAGAGAGCTCCGCGCCCGCTGCCGCCTCTGCCGGGACCGACTGCCACCCGCTGCCGCTGCCACTGATGCTGAGGGCACCACCCCGCGGCCGCCGCCTCTGGCTGCCGCCATCGCCGCTTCGGGCTTCAGAACCAGTGTCGTCCTCAACCACCTGGCCGAGAAGTGGTTCCCGGGCCAGCTGGAGCGCGCCCGGGCGGCGGGCCGGCTCGGGGAGCTGCTGCACGAGGGACGCTACCGGGAGGCCCTGGCCGCCGCCTGCGAGGCGCTTCGAGCAGGTAACCGGGCGGGGATGCGGCGCGGGCTCGGCCGAGCCCACCCTCCCGTCCCCGACGGGCTGGCTACCCTGAGCTCGTCTGCGCCCCCGGGAGGCGCCTCTGCTTCCCGGAGGCCGCCTGCCTCCCGGGTACCGGGTCTCGGGGTCCTCGAGGGTGTGGGAGGGGGCGGCGCCCCGGGGTGCTTCGGTCACAATGGGGATGGCCCTCCGAGCTGACTGTGACGCGGCGTGGGGAGGGGCGCACGGGCGCGGGGTTCCCTCGGCCGCGGCCTGGCGGTTGGGCGTGCTCGTCGCGAGCACCACGGGGCCCGAGCCAGGCCGCCCGGGATGGGTGGGAGTAGGACGAGCCCGGGCGGCCCCTCTCTTCCTGCCGCGCTCTTTCCGGTCATTGGCTGCGTCCGCCACGGGGAAAGGACAGTCGGGCCGCGGAGACGATCCCCAGCTGAGCGAGACTTGGCGGGCAGCGTTTACCTTGGTCTCCCACAAAAGTCACCGGGGCAATTGGAAGCCGCGGGAGGGCAGAATTGCATAAGCTGGAGGGGGGGTGGCGTTGTGTAACGGGTGACGTCCGGTGGGCGTGGCGGGAGCTCGGCGCCCGCACCCAGCACCCCGGCCCCGCCGGCCACTGCGCTCCAGGCGGGTGTCCGAGCTGCCCAGGGGTGTTTAAGTCTGAACCTGGAAACTCCTGCAGGAGTGGTTCCTTTTGAGGGCTTCAACCTACCTATTTCATATCATACTTACCATTATGTATTTACTTTTGAATACACCTAGTTCATGGTCAAGATAAAGAGGTAGTCTCTTGGAATCCTTTGCCACGCTTCCCTTTGCTTTTTCCATTCCTGATCAAGGAAATGGAAATGGCCTTTAGGTCTTTTGTCTCCTCCTTCTCCATAGCAGTTGAGGCCTCCTAACCTAGGTTAGTACTTTTTTAAAGGTGGTTTTAGGCAATGGAAGAGGGGTGTCGCCTGACTTATCCATGTAAAATGTGGAGTTCTCTAAATCAGTGATTCTTTACCAGGGAGATTTTGCCCCTCTCCCCCAAGGGTCCATTATCTGGAGCAGTGTTGGGAGACTTTTTGGTTATCACCCCTTATGGGATTAGTGCTGGTACATTAGCTAGAGATGCTGCTAAACACCCTACAACGCACAGGACTGCCTCCCACACAATTGTCAAGCCCCAAATGTCAAGAATGTTACTGTTAAACCTTGTGTTAAATAAATAGACCTATTTCAAGCTTACCATCTATTTCCTTGCAGGAAATAATACTTGGGGGAATAAGCACCAAGAAAGTAGACATCTAAAATATAAACTGATGTTAAAAAATTAGGTAAACTTATAAACTATGTAACTGAAAGTATTTTGTTATGGCTCTTTTCCCTGAAGTTATTTAATGCCTTTAGATTTAAAAGTACAAGCCTGCTACGTTTCCGTACACTTTGACGATTTTTTTTTTTTTTTTATGGAGAGTAGGCAGTTATAAAATAGAATGGAATGCCAAGTCCAGAACAAAAGAGAACTATTTGGTATACAGAATTCTGATGCAGACCACCCCACCTCCAGGCCACCGTCCTGGTTTTTAAAAGAGGCACAGCTAGGGCAGTGAAATGACTTGTCCTCAAAGTAGCTGGTTGTAGAGGCGGCAACACTGTCCTCCAGTTCTCCTAGGTGTTGGACCGGGGTTCATCCCGCCGTTACAGCTCATCCAGTGGAAATGTTTAACATAAATCTGTAAGAAGGGGTTTTTTTTTGTCATTAGTATAAAATAAAGAATGCGACTTATTGACAGCCTATTCAGTATTGTGATTTCATGATTTGACCTCTTAAATTAGGCGTTTCATAAGAATTCAGGTCCTAATCCATGGAAGAACAGTTAAGCAACATTTACTAATTAAGGTCTAGCTTTGTGTTCTGTGACCAGTAATCCTTTAATTAAGGAAGATTGTGGTCCTTAGATTGATGGTATTATTTTTAACAGAGAAAGACTCTGAAAGATCTACTCTCTCTTTTCAATTTGCATAGACAGCACCTGGGAATTTTTCCCATTCAAATACTCAGTTCTGCTTTTGCATGACTAGAACCCAGGTCTCCTGACTTTCACCTCATTAGCCTGCCCTTCCCTCATTTTTAGGTCTTTCAAAAATTATTAATTACATACTTAAAATATGTCTGAATGATACTAATGAGGATAACATTTTTTCATCCTTTGATTTTTTTAGTTGTAAAATACAGGTATTGCATAACAGTTTATGGACATAAGCAAAAATATTTAGTAAGTTATAAATCTATTTTTACAGTTAGCCTTTAACTCTTCTGTGAGTTGGCTAGTTAGATAGGGATTTGGAATGTATTTATATAATTGTACACTTGTAGTTAATAATAATATGGTCATCGTTGGCAATGAAAAAAGAGCTTCACTGATTTCATGTAATTCTTAAAATGAAACAAGTAAATACTATTAACTAGGAAAAAATCTAGTCTGTAGTTAGCCCACGCACATTCAAATTTATCTCTGTCAACAAGAAAGAAAAGCTTGAAAACCTTTGCCAAAATCAGAAATTTCCCATTGAGATTACATAAGTTTCTGTTGAATTGAAGTATATTTAGATAACACTTAATCCATTGATCTTTTGATAATAACTCTCAGATGTTTCATAACTTTCTGTCTTTTCAGTATTCAAGGATGTTATGTAAAAGTCTTGTCTGCATTGAATCTTTATACTTGAGTCTGTTGAAATGATCCCACTTTGCTATGCTGTCTTCTTTTAGTGTTAGTGAGTTTTTACACACTTGCCTCCTCCCTTTGTATGCCCGTCTTTCCCCAAAGGAGGGAACAGAACAGAATAACAGCAATTTATAGTTTGGATGTTTTTTTTTTAATAAAGGTCATACATGGGAGAACATTTTATTTAAAATACTTGGAGGAGGAAAATTTTGTGTTTAATGTATTTTGTCTTTATACAGTCCTTGACTATTATTGCCAAATATTTTAAAACTCTTTACAGCATCTGATCTTCACAAAGAGTCCTGTGGAGCACTGTTGTCCTCAGAAGGAAGTTAAGGCACCTCAAGCTAGAGATGCAGTGTGGCCTAGTGGGTAAAGCTGTGCATGCTGGGAGCTGTCGGCCTGGGTTTGAATGCCAGTGCAGCTCTCCACGGACTCTCTGACCTTGGGCCTGTGGTCTAACCTCCCTGTTTTGATCCCTTATCTGAAAAGAGAGAGTAGAATCTACTTCGTAGATAGGTCCAAATAATAATGACCACTTAGGTCTGTTGTGAGAATGGAGTCAAAACCTGTAAAGCACTTTGAATGGTGCCTGACAGAGTAAATGCCTGTTAAATATTAATTTAAATACAGCACTTATTTTATAAATGTAAACATTGTGCCACGACTACAAGACGGTTTAGCTGAAATTGAAATCTGAATCTTGTGATGTCAAGTCCTGTCCTTTTCTCTCTGCCACGTTAATAATGCGACCAGAGTGAGGGTCAAATCCTGACTCTGGCTTGTGTATGTTAATTAGTGGTAACATTGTAGCCTGCATCAGTGAAATACAGATGCTGCAAGGCTTTGGGCATACAAAGATTAGTCAAGTTATGGGTAAATACTGAATACATTTAAGGGAAATGTAAAAGGTTTTTAATAATCACCGTGGTTAGTGTGAAAAGATTTGAGTTCAGTCGGTAAACTTATGCATGTTATACTTTACAAAGAACTTGAAACATTGTATCAAGATCTAACTTCATTTTTCTATCAACTTTTGAAATGTTTTGTATTGTAACAGTATTATTTATTGAGCACTTGTGTGCCAGGCAGGGTCCTAACCGTTTACGTGTATTATCCCATTTAGTCCCCACGACAGCCTTACGGCTGACAGCCTTACGACAGCCCCACGGGCCACCAGCATTTTATAGGCCAGGAGATGGGTTCAGAGAGCCAGGTGACCTTCCAGAGTGGACCTGCACCCAGGTCTTCAGAATCCAGCGGTTATGGTCTTCATTATTACGCCAAACTATTCTTCTTGGACTTTATTAATCAATCACTAATACCTCGTCATAATTTAACTGGGATAACCAAGTGCTCCACGCTGAACTTGAAAAGTAAAAGAAGCAAAGAAATTCAGTGTTTTGGTTAGTCACTGAAATTTATGAAATAGCTCCACATATGAATCAAAGAAAACAACATTCAGGAGAATGAGAAAAAGGATGTGAATAGTGAATTTTTATACTTAACACATACCCACTGAAGAAATGCATGTATGCTGGGGTTTATTTGTTTGTTTTGTATTTTTCTAGGAAACGAAAGCACAGCTTGTAGAAGTGTAAAAGTTTTTAATAAAAGAAGGATTAGAATGTATTGAAAACTGTACATATAACTTTCTATACAGTCATTCAGCTTTATAAAAAAACAGGAAATGAACAGATATGCAAAGCCATATAGATAGATGTTCATACTACTTTTTATATTAGCAAAAATTGGAAGTAAAAATTGCACAGTAGGGAATTTTTTAAGTTGTGTATATAATACAATACTTTGCAATTATTACAAATCAAGGGGACTTAATTACATTGACAAAAAAGCAGGTTATAAACATATATGTGGTATATTTTATAAAATTATATTTTAAAAGTACAGGTTCTATGCTAATACTTGTTATTTCTTTGTGGTGGGAAAAATAATTTTAATTCTCAATTGTCTATATTTTTCAAATTTTATAAGTAAATAATAACTTTTATAATTGTAAAAGTTTCTTGAAAATGAACTAAGGACGGAACCTACTAATAATCACACATATTCCTCAGGATTGGGAAAAGACGAAGGATCACTTAGGAAGCCAGGCCTTGGGGGTACAAAAACAGGAAATAGTGGAGGAAGCACAAAAATAGATTTTAAAGTTAATGCTGTGCACACACAGTGAAGAGACAGGCCTATGGAACGTGGTAGTGCTGCGGGGTGCGCTGTCCGGAGCATCTTTTACGCACGCGCTTAGTCTGTGCTTTGGCGATTCTGATGGCCCTGATGAGTGCGTTTGGCTCTTGTTAGAATAAGAAGAGGTGGCTCTGATCTCTTTAAAAAGGATTGAGAGTTTGAACTCACCTGACTTTTTTCCCTAATAGTCATTCAATATAATTATTGCACTAATGTTTGAAGTTCTCAATGAAAACATTAACTGTGAATGACTGGGGAGCAAATGCTTTCAAATCTGACCCTCTTGTCAGGTCTTCGGGAGTCTTGACGGCCTGCGTGTGTCGTGTTGAGCGGAGCGGGGACACAGGTCAGAGCGGAGCAGTTGCACAGACTGACAGCGTGTCCTCAGACGGGCCTTCTCCCTCCCTCCCGTGGGTGCGGTCCCTTGTAATGAGGCTGTGTGAGTGGTGAGGGCTGATGAAAGCGTGTGAAATTCAGTAGTTCTCAGTGTGCACTGCGTCAAGGATGAGGCGATGGGGACTCGCTGTGCAAGAACAAAGAGGCAAGTTTTTAAAAAGCCCAGGAAGGGGGCCAGGAGTGGAACGGGCTACTTGTGGTGACAGTGAAGCCCCCTCCCTGGTGGTGCCCACGCTCACGCCTGCTAAGGGATGCACCCCAGCGGCCCTGGGCCCAGCCCTTTTTTCACAGCTCGGGGTTGCTGATTGCACCCACTACTCACTCGGACTATTTTGGCACCTGCTGCGCTCCCCTTTCTGAACTTCAGTTGTGCTTGTCAAATCAGGATCACATGATGCTGTTTCACAAAAAAATAAAAGTTTCTAATTAGATAACAAGCTCCTCAGAGGCAGGGGTAAAGTACAATCTTTTGAACACCTACAGGGGCTAGGTGCTAGAACTTTCCATTCTTGATTGGCTGGTCATATCACATTTTGGTTTCTGTGTTGTCGTTTTTCATAGAGAATGATTTTCAATTATATTGCTTTGAGAAACAAAAGACAAAATATTCTAGACGTGTCTTTCATTTAGGAAGTAAGAAATATTTTCATGAACTACTAATTTCATTCTTCTTTAGAGTTTTTCATCAGTATAAATTTGAGGGAACGGAATCATTCCAGTTCTCAAGCACCAGCAATTGAAAAAGGCTTGTTTACTATAGTTTTTCAGTCCAGAGTTATCTGTAGAAAGGCAACCTTTTAAAAACTGGAGTAAATCATGGAGCAGATGAGTTTTATAATCGCTTTTTTAAAAATGAGGTGTTGTAAGTGTCTGTATGTCCTCTCACAATGAATGCTTTATTTTATATGCATACCTGTTTGAAAGCGTCAAAGATGAATTGCTTTAAAAGAAGAGTGAGGTTTATCTGTATGTGCTGAAGATTATTTTTTTTTCGTAGACTTCCATTTTAGAATCTATATGCTTGTGGTAATAGATGGTGGTGTGGAGTGAACCGGCTCAGTGTCTGAAACAGTGATGGTCATCGGATACTAATGTGGTTTCTCACGTAGAGAGGGAGATGCTAGAGCAATTAAAAACAAAGTTTTTTTCCTCAGGAATGTTTGACATTAACCTGTTTTGGAATGGCTTCATGCCATTCTTGCTAATGGCAAGGATTAGGATTTTGATGTTTTTAGAGAGCTGACTCTCAATCAACCTGCTTCCTCCTGAATCAGGACCACTATGTACTCCCTGAGCCTGGCTTGTCCATCTTCCCCACTGTGAAAATTCCCTGTGCAGTACTGACACGTGTGTTGTTTATAAGGAAGGGGTCGGAAACGAGGCTGTGAAAAAATTTAAACTTGACCATAAAAAGGCAAATTTAAACATCTAGGACATGTATTTTAAATTGTGTAGAGTGCCCTATTTTAAGAAAACATTTATTTTCTTAAAGGTAATTATTCACATTATGAAGATATTCCCAGTGTTCTTATGAACCATAATTCCGCTAAAATAGTCTACTTATGAGTTCATGTAACTTCTAGATAAAATTCAACTTGTAAGTAGGTTGAACCTATACTGTGTTTGGTTCATAACATTTAGTTTGGTGGTTATTGACTGGAATCAAAGTAGGTTAATTGTTAAATCTAGTGTGATGTATTTTGTGGGTTATACAATAATCTTTTAAAAACAATCAATCTTTATAAAATACTTATTTCAGAGCCTGGCAACTTGACACTAAAAATTTACAGAGCTGAATCATATGCTGGTCTCCAAGAGTTTAAAGCAGCCATAGAAGATTTGAATGCAGTTCTCTTTCAACTGCCAAATTGGCCTGAGGTAAAATTACTGTTTTACATTTTGCATACATTTAAAAAATTTCAGCTGTAAGGAACATGCACTTAGTTATGGTTATAAGTTTTAACAGAATGGTTGGGTTGACTCAGAGTCCTCAAAATATAAGTTCAGGAAGTTATAAGAAATCTTTGTTTCCTAACTAAAGAACAACCTGAATTCAAGGCATAGGAAAAAAAAAAAAAGACTTTAGTGTACAAAATTTCCTCAAAGAGATATAACCAGCCACATGGTGAAGATGGATACAAACCAGCCATGGACGCAGGGAGTCAGTAATGGAAAGGGAAGAGGTCCTGTAGCTGGAGAACTAAGGGAGGCGTTATCCTGGCAACAGATCACTGGGTGATGATTTCACACAGGAGATGGGGCAGAGGGCGTTGCCTTGCCACGTAGTTTGAAAAAGACTTGTGGCGTGTACGGAATCAGTTTACCAATTTTCCTGTTTAGCAACTTGCCAAGGTAATCAGTCCATGTCCCATATGTGTTTTATAAACTGGAGGTTACTCTTTGTTGTGACTTCTTCCTCCATTCATAACTGTGCCTTCGAAGACAGTATATTAAAGATAGTCCAAAAATTAATAAATTACTTACAGAAGTTGTGTGGAATTCCATGCTAGCATGCCTGGTTAGTACAAGGCACATACATATTCAGAAATGAGAGGGAAGTGATCTGTATGAACAACTTAGGAGCCCTCTGGGCCTGTCACCGGAATGTGGGAATCGGGAGCCTGGTCCAGAGTCACTGTCTCGGTCAGTGCCTCTCAGGGCAGCATGTGAATACTCCTGTGAGATGCTGTGAGCTCCGAAGAGTCATTCAGAGTTTCAAAATGAGCATTTCCAAGAAGACTTTTTTTTTCTTTACTTGATAATAATTTTTTTTAAAACAATTCTGTCAACAAAGTCATGTGTGTGTGCTTTTATTGCAGGTCTACTTCAGGAAAGGAAAAGTGCTGCATGATGCTGGCTTCTTAGGCGATGCCTTACAGCTCTTTCTGCAGTGCTTGGCCCTCGATGAAGACTTTGCGCCTGCGAAGCTAGAAGTGGAAAAGGTACTCAGTTTACCAACGTTAATAGTTTAAGGCAGGGCTAAAACCCAGTTATTCTGAAAAATGCCAACTAGAAAACTGGAATAAGAACATAAGGAATCCATAAGTCAGATTTCGTAGCAATTCGACAGGTGGCTTTCAGGTTCATATACTTAGTGTTTTGAGGTCTTAGTGAAATCGAAATATTCCATTCACAAATATGTAAATGTATTATAGCTTAGTTAAATTTAGATGTTCCCTAATAGTCTGTGTTATCTGAGCCAGACTAATTATCCTTAATTAAACATAGTTGTCATGATGTTTCTGCTCAGGAATTTTTATTGGCCTGGTTTTGCCTTTCATTTATCAGGTCTGAACTTTGCTTACTTTTTATGGGTGCCAGGAGTAGCACCCCAGTAAAGTTGTTTTCCTGATTGTCCTTTCTTTTTTTAAAACATTTTTCTCAGTAGTCAATATTCCACTTTCTCAACTTTGTTTGGTAGTGTGTTAGTAGGTGTCAGTTAAAAGAAAAAAGGGAGGGGCTTTCTGATCAAATGACTTTGGGGAACGTTAGGTTAAGCCAAGTTAAACAGGTTTCTCCAACGCTCCACACAGGTTTTGCTCTGCAGGCGTGAGGGAAGTGTTCAGTTTTTGTCAGACTTACAGAGCATCAGATGAGACTAGAGTCTTTGAAACTGTTTGGGGGAAATCCTTACCCTAACACGACTTCAATGCCCGGTCAGGATTCTCTCTTCAGCGTCCTAAGAACATGCTGCGTCATTTAATCACCTTTGTCATGTTTCTTAGACTGGCTTTTTGTCCAGATCATCTTGGGTGTGTGGTAAACACAAAGATTCCTGGGCCCACCATAGACGTTTGTAGTTAAAATCTCAGGACCTGGGACATAGTTTAAGAAGCACCTTGACAGACTCTTATATACCCTGAAATACGAGAACTTTAAAATTTTTCTCGTATCCCAAATGTCTATGAAGCAGGCAAATATTGGTATATCCTAGGAAGGCTGTTGGTGTATACATTTGTGCCCTGATTTAACAAGAATTCATAAATTGTCATGTGTTTTTTCAACTGTTCTGTATTAGTGTTACCTTCCTGGTGAGACTGCAGACCTTTTAAGGGCTTATAATTTTGCATTTTCTGTGCTGTTGGATATCCTCATATATCTGTAAATATTTGTTTTTTGGTTGATACAGTCAGGTGAATGCAAAATACCTGATACTTTGAAATATTTCTTTTTCCCAAATATGCATCTTGTAAATTGTGGTATAACTTACATGTAATGAAATGCATGGATTTTATAATTCAGCGGGTTTTGAGAACTTATAAACCCATGTAATGACAGCCCATCAAGATATAGAATATCTTCATCACCCTAGAACCTGGTCAGGATGCCCTCATCTCCTTTCCAGTAAATTCTCTGTCTCTCTGCTTCTAGCGGCGACTACTGTTGGGGCTGCTATCGCCCTGGAGTAGTTGTGCCTGTTCTGGAACTTAATATACATCCAGTCATACAGCCTGTGCTCTTTTGTGTCTGGCTTTTTCTCCAGTATAATATTTTTGAGATACATCCAGTGATTAAAAAGCTTCTGTTGTTCACTAAGTACCCCATTGTATGAACACACCACAATTTGTGGTGTTCACCTTTAGCAGTGACTTTAATTCAGATTATTTCCAGTCGCCACTGTAGACATTGTTGTGTAAGTCATTTCGTGGCCACACATTTTTGTATCTCTTTGGTATATACCGAGGAGCAGAGTGGCCGGGTTCCAGGGTGGGCGTGTGTTTAACCTATTTTTTCAAATCAAGGGAAATGTGAAAATATACACAGATGTTTAAATGTTTGTTCATTAAATGAAGCATTGCTTGAGTGCCTACCAGATATGCACATTTACATTGTATGTATTTTCTTTTATTTACATTGTAATGATCAGGAATAATTCAAATTTTTGTGTATTTGAGAGATAGTACAGCTGAAAAATCAAACCTCTAAATTTAGACTTTAAGAAATGTTCTATACATATAAATACAATTAATTTGGCAATCCCCCCCCAAAAAAACAAAACAAAACCCCGAATCCTTCTCATTTCCTCTAGCCTGGTTCTTCCCCTGTCTTGACCTACCCTGTTTCTCTGAGAGTTTTAGGGGTATTCCTGGTAGAAGTGCCCAGAAGTTTTGATATCACAGCTTCCTCCCAGGTTAACCCCCAGCTGTTACAGGGCAGCTGCTGCCTGGTGCTCCCAGCCAGGAGCTGCCGTGGTGACTGCCGGAGTAGGTTAGTTGTTCAGTGAGAAGCTACATTCCGAAGCTAGATGCATGGAATTTTAGAGTTCTGTAGTTAGAGGTCCAAGTGCTTCAGTTCCCATAAACACTCTGAAGTCCAGCCTTAAAATAGACATTGGAGGTGAACCATGAACTATTTTGACAGGTGGGACTCACTGATCTTCAGAGGTAATTGTTTTCCCCTCCTCTAAGATCTCCCCTTTGACCATCGTGGCATTAAAAAGTCAGCCTTTATCTTGGACGCCTTCACAGGCTTCCAGTTGAACCATGCCTGTGCCTGCTTCCGAATCATTTCTCTGAGACGGCTCGACCCCACTGAGGCACACTTTGCCTTTGGGGGACTTCCACGTCCCCCAAAGGGGGGCCTGTTTTATTACTTAATCTCTTCCTCCTCTGCTTGTTGAAAATTATGTCTGCTACGAGTTTTCTAAAAATTCTGAAATAATTAGATAATTTTTATTAAGTTGTCCTTAACCAAATACTTTATGTTTTCCATTACTTTTATAATATTTCTCTTACAGATTTTATTTGATTTATTATCACCTGAAAACTTAAAAGAAGGCCTGAAGGATTCTTCCTGGAGTTCATTGCCGTGCACTAAAAACAAACCTTTGGGTTTTCCATCAGTGATGGAAGAGGCGCACTCTGCCAGTGAGCGCAGCCCAGAGCAGGTGAGGGGTGAGGAAAGGTCAGCACGGGGTTAGTGTGTGTGTTTCCTTACACGTTAGGATCTTCACCGCCCTGATTTCAGTTCTGCAACCTGTTCAGATATTGTTAAGCTATTTAATAATTGTCTCAATAGGATTTTTTGTCTACAACCTTATGTTTTATACTAAAAACTTTGATGTGGAGACTTGTTCATGAATCACCATGTTAAGTCGCCTGAATGTTAGAAAACTTTTAGTCTACTGGAAAATGGGGAATATTGTGTTTATTTTAGTTTCCTCAAGAGAGGAACAGCTATATTAGTATAATTGCTTAAACCTCATTGTAATAGAAGTTAGCTGGATGTCTAGGGCTGTGTAAGTACTGGCAAAATCATGTACTTGCCAGGGTTTTAGAATTGAAGGTTGGTGCTGTTTAATGAAGACTAAGTGGACATTACAAGACGTGGAAAATTTGTTTCAGTTCGGTTCTTGGCGAGAGCACTAAAGGACAGGAAATAAGTGCAGATACCCTTGTTACTGTATTTTTGTAGAACGAAGAAATAGCAGAGGTGCCATCGGAGCCTGTCCGGGGAAGTTTAAACCGCGCTCGCTCAGCACAGGCTATAAATTCCGCAGAAAGGCCCTCCCGGGAAGACGGCTTGAAAAGAGTGTCCTCGGAACCTTTCCTCTCCGTTCAAGCAAAAGGTGCTCTCCTGAAAAGAAAGTTGTCTCTTTTGGAGCAGGATGTGATTGTCGATGAAGATGGAAGAAATAAGCTTAAAAAGCAAGGAGGTAAAACTTTCACTACAGTCATAGGGAGCATATCTACTTACTTAGAATAACTTTTAAACTTTTTCCTAAAGACAGCCCCGTTTCCCTGTTTGAACAGAACCTCCCAGTGAAGTCTGTACGATTTCATTAGCCGGCGGCGGCGACGTCCCGGGCGAACTGGTAGATGCCTCCGACTTTGAGTGTTCTCTGTGCATGAGGTGAGCGTGCAACGTTTTATAAAAGACAAACTTTTTATAGTAAGGTAAATAAAAGGCAGGGTAGATAAAGGTGACCTCCTCTGTGATAACAGACCATGTAAATGAACAGAATATTGTATTAAATATCAAAAGATAGGAATTTTACTCCTAGGTTGACCTTTCACACCTTGGACAAGTAACTGATATACGAACCTTGGTTTTCCTTACTAGAAAGTGGGTCAGTATTTGTACACTCTGTCACAGTGTTCTAGGAAATCAAGTGACTTAAATATAGAAAGTATCTCCCAAGTTGTAAAGTGCTATAAAAGCTATACTTATTAGTATAATTCAGAAACATCCATGCTTTTAGATTTGGGTAAGAATTCTAATTATGTATTGTATGTATCTGGCTCTTTATATATTTTAACCATAAAATCCTTTTAAAGTAGATTGGCTAGGGATTTTCACTGTGTAGAATGCTTAGAGTCCTAAACGACTGATAGTGTGGAAAGAACATTTTCCCCTTACACGTACTGAATGGAGTCACAGGACCAGTGTACAGAGAGTCGGGAGACCTGGCACTGGCCCCGGCCCCGCAAGGCTGGGGGTCACTCCCACATCCCCAGACAAGTCTCCCAACTCTGAGTCTAGGTTTCCTCATTTATGAGGTAAAGGGTGAGACTCGACCATTTCTGAAGTACCCACATGTCTAATGATACTTCTAGGAAATTCAGAGGTGTTTCAGGAAATAATGTTTTATGATTATTTATCTCTAGCTTTCCTGTATTATTTGTGTATTGCATTTGTCATTAGGCTTAATATTTCTTTAGGATCTAACTGTAATATTTATTGGATTACTCCTTTTAATGAATTTTATATAGTAAAGTTTTTGTAAGCTTATTAAAGAAACCAATTTTAAAGAGATGAGAAAATAAGAATCTATGAAAGCTATTTAATAGTTATTAATGATACATTTCACATTATTTATTTTGCACGAAGTCTTTGAAATCTTGTGTGTATTTTGCATTTCCTGCACACCTGAGTCTGGAGCAGCCCCATTCAGGTGGTTATGCGGCGTGTGGCCAGCAGTCCTTGTACGAGATAGTACAGCCCCAAGTGCTTGTCAGGGCACCTCCACTGATAGATCATTTGAGATGTTCTTCAGGAGAGTGTGGTTGCGGCACCGCTGGCGCTTTGCTCTTCTGCCCATCAGACCCTCCTCCCTCCTCTCAGTGGAGATTCGTGTTATGGTTCTGTTATTAGTGTGTGTAGTTTTTCCGATAGGTAGTTGAATGTGAAAACTAACATGTATTTTGGTGGGTTTCAGGTTGTTTTTCGAGCCAGTAACAACCCCTTGCGGACACTCGTTCTGTAAGAGCTGCCTGGAGCGTTGTTTAGATCATGCGCCGTATTGTCCCCTCTGCAAAGAAAGCTTAAAAGAGGTGAGCATTTTATCTGTTTATTGATCTCAGCTTTGGCAACGTGGTGTGATTTCTGTGCAGCCGTAGGAATAGTGATTATCATGTTCGGAACGAATTACCTTATATATGCTGAGTGACCGTCAAGGAGAGCATTTCATGACCTTACGTGAGTGCTGGAGAAAGTGAGGTTAGAGAGGATGGGGAGCAGGGAGGTCCTGGAGACCGAGGCCCCTGCACTGAATTTCTGTTTAATAAAGTGGGTCTGGTCAAGTACCTGGTCCGGAGTAGGTTCAATTTTAATGAGACAGTATTAGGGAAACCCAACTGCCCTGCCTTATTCCACAGTAACAGACCAAATACATTTCTGGCCTAGTTCTGGCCCCTTACATGTGGAACAGCTCTGTCCAGTAGACTTTCTGCATTGATGGAAATGCTCTTTCTGTGCTGTCCACTGTGGTAGCCAGTAGCCACATGTGGATACTGCATCCTTGAAATGTGGTTGATGTGACTGAGGGGTTGTATTTGCGGAGGCATGGGTGACCAGTGGCTGCCACGTCGGACAGGGCAGTGGTAGACCGGCCAGGAGTGGGAGGCACAGCTCCCCGCACTCCTTCTCCTGGGGTCAGTGGTCAGCGCTGACGACCTCTGTTGGGAAAGTGGCTAGAGCTCCATGGGCACCTCCTGCAGCAGGTGGGAGATCACACCCCCAGTCGTCCTGCGCTCCAGATGCACTGGGGCCATCGGTCAGGGAGAGGGAGCCCGTCTCTGGTGGCTGACAGGACTGTTTACAGAAAAAGTGTCTTCCAAATCTGGACAAAGAAGTGATAAAAACCATTCTGTTATTGAACATTCATAGCTGCTTCCCACATACAAAGCACAACTCTGTGTGAGTATTGTAATATTGTATGTGTGTTGTTATCTTTGACCTGTGTCTTATATAACAAGCTGATAGGAAACCATGAAACCATACACAGTGTTCACAGTGTCAGGAAACGAGATGAACTTACTCTTAAGGAGTTTGTCAAGTACATGTTCAACTAATGTGCTTCAGTGTTTTTAGGTGAAGTATTCTAAATATGCTACTTTTCCTGTGTTTTTAGAGTTTTTAGATTGATTAACAATTAGATACATTGCTTTAAATTTAGAGATAGCTCACCTTAAAAAGAGATGTTTGAAGTTCGAAAGAAAATAAGCCTATTATTTTAAAATAACAAATACACTGTTTTAAAATAACTTTATTTTGTGTCCAGACCATGAGAACAGCTCATGTAATATAATCTGTACAATCTAAATATGTATTTAAAAAAATTAAAATTGGTATGCTCTACAGTTTTATGTTTTTCCTACTTGTGATTTTAATTTGCTCATTTTCTAATTTGAATATATTTTAGAGGTAGAATTTCTATAGCAGTATATTAATCTAATGATTTAATGTTTTTCTATTGTTGGTTATGTAAATTGTTTTGTTTTCTCTATTTTATATACCGCGTTGTATGTCTTGGAATATTTCCTTAGGATAAATTCCTGAGAGATAAATTACTCGCTTAAAGCTTTTATGTTTATAGGATGCTTAAAACCAGTTGCCAAATTACTTAGGTCCCCAGCAGTGTGCAAGTTCAGATTCTTATCACTAATTTAAGAGAGGTCATATTTCCCCAAATTTAATGCATGCATATTAAATTTTAAAACATCTTTATTAATTTAATAGAAAAGTAATAAAATTGCTTTTTTGATGCCTGTAATTTGATTAGTTTTATTACATACTTGTGAGTTGTCTGTGTGCATGTCACCTGCTCAAGAGGGCCTCTCGCCAGTGGGGCTCCGTGTGGGCCCTGACCAGCAGCGTCTGCGGCACCTGGGAGCTTGTTAGAAATACCAGACCCCACTCCAGAGCCGTTAAGTCAGGAACCCTGGGGTGGGGCACAGGAACCTGCATTTTAACAAGCCCTAATTCACACTAATGTTTGAAAACCGCTGCAGTTACCCATCTCCCAACCTCGCTTATTCCTACTTCATTTTTCATTGGATGACAAAACTTATTTATGCTGGCTCCACAGATTAAAGGATGGCTTCTGTTTATCTTCTCTGGTCATTGTCTCCCAAGAGTTTTTCCTCTTATTAAATACATTTGTGTGGGACATTTTCTTTGTCCAAAGTTCTGTGCGTACACTCTAACCTGGTCCCTGCCCCAGTGCAGTTCTTGGTTCAGTTCCAGAGAGACGCTGTACCTCTGCCCACGTGGTACGGTGCAGGGTGTGGCTGGGAGCTGACTTCTATGTGGTACCAGCAGTGAAACATGGGGTTCTTGGGGGACAGAAAAATAGTTAAGGAAGACTGTAAGAAAAACGTAAAATGGAGCCAGACCTTAAAAGATTGGTGGGCTTTTCATAGGCAAGAGAGAAAGAGATGGCATTTAGCAGTTGGAATCATGACAGAAAGACCCGCGGGGGCGGCCACTGTTCCGAGTATGGAGGGAGTGATGAAGTGTGCCACGTGATGCAGGGTCCAGAGGGTCGAATGGGAAAAACCACCTCTTAATATTAGGACCACCATCTGAGTGACGGCGGAGCGACAGGGGAGGGGAGTCCAAGAAAAAACAGGTTGTGTGGAGACTCTGCCCCTGACACAGAGAACAAAGCGGGAGGCCGAGTTTTGTTTTTTTAAATAAGACATGCGTCACTTTCTTTATTCCTTATATTTCTCAATTAAAATGCCAGTTGCAGGTGCCTATGAGCCCTCGGGTTGGAATTGGCCTTCGGCGTGGAGGGTGGCAGGGGCGAGGCTGCCAGCTGCTGACACCGGGCTCGTGGGGGAAGCAGGACCCAGGCCTCACGAAGGGGTGGTGGGGGGAGCTGGGCTCGTGCTGCGGCCGCCTCTTTAAGGTCCTGGGCAGAGCCTCAGCCAGCTTTGCTGGGTCCTCGGCAGTCCACTGCAAGGTCCCCCGCCGAGAATTCATAATTGACCGTGAGACTCTGTGCTGAAGGCTTTACTGTATCAGCCGAACCACTTTGCCTGTTTTATCCTGTAGGAAAAAAAGTATTGGAATGTTAACATAATATTGTCTTTTAGTACCTAGCAGATAGGAGGTACTGTGTCACACAGCTGTTGGAAGAATTAATAGTGAAGTACCTGCCTGATGAGCTGTCTGAGAGGAAAAAAGTGTATGATGAAGAAACTGCTGAACTCTCACAGTAAGTTTTTTCTCGTAAAAACACAAAGTATGAACCTTTTAAAATAGGAGAGGCCTTCCTGTGGCGAGCTGGATCCTGTCTTTAGTTCAACCCTATAGTCAGAGGAGTGAGTATTTTAGACAAATATTGGTCATTTTCCCCGTCCCAAACTTCCAGATGTTCTGGGAATTACTGACTCAGTAATTCTCAGTTGTTTGCACTGAAGCAGTATTTTGGGTGGAGGAGGGGCTCCTTACAGTGACTTTCAGGGCGGAATCCAGAATGAAGAGGAGAAGCCGGTGACTAGTTGCTGGGGACAGCAGCCCTCAGGCCTCAAGGCAGGGTGGGAGGAAGGTGGAGGATAAATGGTCTGGATTGGCAGGGGTTTGGCCAGTTAGAGGTTTGGAAGGTGGGACCTTGAGACCTGAGACTGAAATTGGAAAGGGGGCCAGGACTTAGGGGCCAAATTCTAACTTAATGAGGATGATGCTGAGTTAGTGACAGTGAAGTGTTACTAACAGGTAGCTTGGTAGCTTTGGGATTTAGTAGAACAGACCTTATTAAGAGCACTTCCTGGCTGATTTGGGCTGGGGAGGTTGGACTTGGTTTTCTTCCTCTGTATACCTTTCTCTCTTGTACTTTTCTTCTTCCATATCTTAACCTCTTTGACCAGTCACTTGAGTTCCTTTAAATTTCTTTCATAGGTTTTTAATTTCTTAACTCTTTTCCTTTCATTTTCCTCTAAGTAGACACACTAAAGAATAAAACTGCCATCTTTGTATAATCTTTTTATTGAGCAATCTGGTTTCCATTATTTTTTAAATTATATAAATTGAAGATTTTATATTTCTCACTTTCTAAGAAAAATTTTATTGTGCTTGTAGGCTCTTCTTTTTCAGTAAGTGTCACCAAATGTTTTCATTGGGCCGGTGGCCTTCTACAGAAGAAAGAAAGACTTGATCTTTTTTTAACAGAAATCAATATTGATTTGTCTTCTCACAGAACTGATGTTTCATTGTGTGTTTTTTTTAAAGATTGTATTTATTTATTTTTAGAGAGAGGGGAAGGGAGGGAGAAAGAAAGGGAGTGAAACATCAGTGCGTGGTCACCTCTCACACGCCCCCTACTGGAGACCTGGCCCTCAAGCCAGGCATGTGCCCTGACTGGGAATTGAACCAGTGACCCTTTGATTCACAGGCCAGTGCTCAATCCACTGAGCAACACCAGCCAGGGCTTGTTGTGTGATTTTGTGATAAAAAATATGATATGCAGATTATGAAGCTTTTTGATCAATGCTGCAAAAATTATTTTATTGGTACTCCCTTTTTGCTTCTAAGTTCTGGCTACTATATCCAATACTATATCGAACATTCTTTTGGTACTTGTGTGGGGGGGAGTGAGCCTGTTGGTGCAAATGGTTATGAACATTTAAGAAAGTTTTTGATGTTTTTAGCCAAATTCCTTTTCAACATGTTGACTGCACTGTTTCAGTCTGCCCCTGCCCTGACAGCTTCCCCACACTGGGCGTGGGCCCTTTGTGGGCGTTGCCTTTGTCCTCCTTCCCTTCTGTCTGTCTGGCAAGGAGAAACGCGTCACTTTAATATCTGGGAAAGTGTTATGAATTACTTACTCTGAATAGTGAATTTGAAAATATTTTTAATGGTTTCCTTTTTGTCTTTTGTGAGAGCTCATCCTTTCTTGTTATCTAAAAGTAACTAAGAGTGTCTTACAGATAAAAGAGACTAACTCTGTCATGTTACGGATACTTTAGACAGATCTAATAGGAAACAGTAATTATGGTCAATGGCTTTTAGGTTCATAAAGGTACTTGGTGCTCTGATACCCTGGTGTCTTGAGCTCAGATTGACTTGTATACATAAGAGGGTCAGAAACAAATTTCTTAGTCTAATATTGTATCGTTGTGGGTGTAATGAAGGCGATGCCAGTTCTTGTTCCTGGCAAGGATGAAAGTCACCTTATTTAGGGCTAATTTGTTTCTGTTTTATAGTAACTTATTACTGGTGCAAGCTTCACTCACTCTGGCTGTATGTTATGAGGTATAATAAACTTCTTTCTTCTTCAGCTTGACCAAGAATGTCCCAATATTTGTTTGCACTATGGCCTACCCCACTGTGCCTTGCCCTCTTCATGTATTTGAGCCAAGATACAGACTGATGATTCGGAGAAGCATACAGACCGGAACCAAACAGTTTGGGATGTGTGTCAGTGATACACAAAATAGGTATGCTTTCTGTGTCCTTACATGTTTGTATTTATATTGGAACTCTCCTTGACTATTTTGAGAACTCGTGTGCTTGTTGCTTGAACTTTGATATTAACCAGAGTTTTTTCTTTTAGTTTTGCAGATTATGGTTGTATGTTACAAATTAGAAATGTGCATTTCTTACCCGATGGAAGGTCTGTGGTGGATACAGTCGGAGGAAAGCGGTTTCGGGTTTTAAAAAGAGGAATGAAAGATGGATATTGCACTGCAGACATTGAATATCTGGAAGATGTTAAGGTACCGCAGAGTGCTCCTTCCCGGCACACTCCGGTGTCCGCTGTCCTGCGTGTGGTACTGGTGTCCGGGCGCTTTCCTAAACGGTTCCCCCTCCTGTGAGAGGCCCTCAGCAGTACTACGCAGATTAGTTCCCAGCGGACCTTTTTCCTGTCTTGCTCTCAATCACTGTGAGCTCCGAGAGAACGTGGGAGATCAGAACCTAGATCCTCTCCATTTCTCCAGGCACAGCCGCCAGCACGGTGCCTCGACTCTGTGTGTGTGTGTGTGTGTGTGTGTGTGTGTGTGTTTGCGTGGCAGGCACTTAACAAGAGCAGTTGGCTGAATTTTGACTGTTTTTAAGTGTGAATAGTTCAGTGGCATTTGGTGCATTTTCATTGTTGTGCAAAAGTAGATGCCTTTTAAAATCTTGTGTTTCATTTCGAATCTTCAAAAGTGAAAAGTAATTTCTCATCTCTTATGTGCTATAGATTCACCTTTCATATTTCAGAATGTTTTTAGAGTCCCTTTATTGTTTTTCTGTCGAGTCATCCTTGCGACGGCAAAGGCTGAGTCAAGGCTTAGTATTTGTTCAGCTGCGTTAATGTGCATGGAATAGCACACTCCCTGGCAGGTAGCGAGTGGGATAGAAACGTGCGTTAAAGAAATCACTAGGGGATGGACGGGTTAATGTTACGCCCTCCCACCTGTGTTCTGTGGTGCCACTCTGGACCTCAGGCTGGAAGGCGGGGGTGCGTTTAATTTCACTTTCGCAGCTCCGGGATCCAGTGGTCTGAAGGGTGTGTGGAGTGACTGCAGCTTTGGGTCTTTACTGCAGAATTTCATCGTCCCACAGTTTATTCTCTATTTTTCGATATTCTGACTTACATGCCAAGTTATTTGGTACTTTTTCTTTTTTGTTGTTTGATCCATTTCCTTGGTAAAAGATATAATTGTGCTGGTCTTCCATCCTGTTACACTTTTTGCACGTCGCCTGTGCTTTAAACCTCCTCCCTACGATCTTTCCTCTTATTGTAGCAACTGCTTTTAAAAAGCCATCGATTCATAGAGACAGAAGGAAGCGCAACTTAGAGTAAACCTCGGTCCGGGAACCCACTCTCAGTCTGACCCCTCCCCCGACCGGGGCTGCTGGTGGGGTTCTGCAGACTGCTCTGTCGCTCACAGGGCTGCGGGGTGGTCCGGCCTCGCTGTCGTTCTTTGGGGGGGCCTGTTGGTGTTCTGTGAGGCAGAAGTAGATGGTACGTGCTGCATAAGCGTAACGCTCTCCCATCTAGAACTGAAATAGGCATTCTTTGTTTTTGTTTTTTTTCCTCATTTCAGTAGGGTTGGTGGTATATTAGACAAGGAAGAGTAGACACAGGCGTCTTACTGACTGTTGTGTTTCTAGGTGGAGAATGAAGACGAGATAGAGAATCTCAGACAGCTTCATGATTTGGTGTACTCTCAAGCCTGCAGCTGGTTTCAGAATTTAAGAGACAGATTTCGAAGCCAAATTCTTCAGCACTTTGGATCGATGCCCAGGAGAGAGGAAAACCTTCAGGTATGATGGCTTTGATGTTGTTTCCAAAAGTCTCACTTTCTCTTATAGACCCAAATGAGAACATTTTTAAGTTTCTTTTTCGTCGCCCTTCCCACACGGTGTTTCCTTTGTCCCGTCTTCAGAATCCGAGCGCATCTCTGGGCGGGGGTGTGTCCTGCGTGTCAGGTAGCAGCAAGGCCGCGGGTGGAGGCAGCCCTGGCTGAGGGCACCCTTTTCCGGAAGGAGAAATAACAAGTTGAAAGTGGGACATGGTGCCACTTAGCAAATTGTGACTTTGAGACAAGTGTGCCTTTGAGCCAGTCAACTGCTCTTCTTTGGCAGTTGAGAGATATATCATTTTCTATACTCTAAAAAAATCCTTTTCTCACTTTGACTTCCAACTTTCAGCCTAGCGATTATTTTCATTTTTGTCTCTTCATGTTTAATATGCGTCACTCCTCAGGCAACCAATGGTCTAAGGGTCTAGCTCGGGTACTTAGGGTTTATATGTGAGCTTAATCTAATTAATATGAAGCGAGCACTTTGTAGACAAGCAGATCTGTCAGCAGGCGCTGTAAGAAGCATAAAAGAAGTGTCCCTGTCCTGGAAAATCTGAGTTTAGACTCATCAAAGCACTAACTTTTAGGTGTAAGCATTTTGAATTGAATTGACTGAAGATGTTTGTGATCGGAAGGTAGTAGATTTCATACAGTAATGGCTGTGAATAAATATGAAGATGGAGAGAGAAGCCCACCGTGGCGCACACTGGCTCTCATTCCTGTTCCCAAAGGCTGGTTGAAGTCTGTCAGAATCCCGGCCGAACTCTTCACCTGAACTTGAAGTGTCAGCCTCAGACCATCTCCTGATGGAGTGCTGTGGCTAGCGTATTTTTTTTAAATCCTGTCTACCTGGATCTTATTAAACTTGATAGAAACTGGTTTTTGTCTTTAAGATTTTATTTATTTATCTTTAGAGGATAAGGGAAGGAGAGAGGGAGAGAAATATCAATGTATGGTGCCTCTTGTGCGTCCCCTGCCGGGAACTGGCCTGCAACCCAGGCATGTGCCCTGGCTGGGAATCGGACCTCCATCCTTTGGTTTGCAGGCCTGCACTCAATCCACTGAGCCACATCTTTTGATAAGCACCAAATTGAATAAGGAAATTTTATTTTTATTTTTTTTATCTTAATTGTTCAAGTACAGTTTTCTGTCTTTTACCCCCATTGAATAAGGAAATTTTAAATGTTAGCAAACCAGCTTGTAGGAAACTTCAGTGTTATGTCCGCGTTGCCTTTACCCCCCTCACCTCTCTCCCACCCTGTCGTCTCCTGCCCCTCTGCCTCCTGTGAGTTTGTGCAAGTCGGGCTTCGGCTGGGGACACAGGAGGGCAGGGTTTTCCGTGGGGTGACAGTCAGGGAGTCTGCCGCCACAGCAGGGTGTGCCGCTGCCCAGGAGCACACAGGGAGGCTGCTGTCACCCTTAAGGGCCCCAGGGGAGTCCCCGCAGTGTCCCATCTGCAGCAGTGGGCGGAGCAGGTGGTTTTGACGAGTCCCCTGAAAGCTCCCGCAGATCTCACACCTGCCCTCACTTGGCAGCGGTCTCCAGAGAATAACGGCTCCCTGTCTTCCACTGTACGTGCCGCGGGAGCGCCTCTCGTTGGCCGAGTCCGACCTGGAGCCCTGTGGAAAGGGGCTTCTAGGAAACACAGTTTTCTCACGTTTCCGACGTGCAGCAGCGGTGGTCGTGGCACTGAGCTGAGCGCGGGCCGTGCACAAAGGGGGCTTGAAAGTCCTTGTGTATAAACTTCTGGTCCTTTCTAGTCCTTTCAGTAGTCAGCCCTCGCAACATCCGAGGCACTTCTTTGCTGGACATATGTTTATGTCGCAAAAGAAACAAGAAGCTAAGACCTTTTCCTTATATCTTAACTGGGATTTCACAAGTCTTTGAAAAAATTTTAAAATACCAACTAACTTTAAGAAATGTTTTAAATATCTGTTTTAAGAAAGTAGTTCTTTCCCTGGTCCATGTGGTGTAGTGGATTGAGCACTGGCCTGCAAACCAAGTGGTCGCCAGTTCGATTCCCAGTCAGGGCACATGCCTGGGTTGTGAGCCAGGTCCCCAGTAGGGGACACATGAGAGGCAACCACACATTCATGTTTCTCTCCCTCCCTTCGCCTCTGTCTAAGAATAAATAAATACAATCTTTTTTTTTTTTTAAGAAAGAAAGCAGTTCTCAAGTGGGGACAATTTCACCCCAATGGCACAATTTGGCAACATCTGGAGACATTTTCGATTGTCACAGGTAGGGAGGTGCTAGCTCTTGACAGAAGGGAGAGGTACTGCTAAACAGGCCACAGTGTGTAGAGCAGGTCTCAACAGATGCTGGTGGTTGAGAGGTCGAGAAAACCCTACTTGCAGGCAGTTTGGTGCAGAGAAAAGTGTGTCGGCTGTCGAGTCGGGTCTAGATTTGAATCTTGGCTCTGCCGCACGTAAGCAGAGAGGTCACGGACAATTCATATTAACTTTCTGAGCTTCAATTTCCTAATTTTATATGAGCATAGCAATAGCCTTTTTTACATTATTGTTAAAAGAATTTGAGATAGGACCTGATAGGGGCAAGTGCTCAATAAAGACTAACTTAGTGGTTTCTTTCTTACTGTTCGTCATTACATAAATATTTGCTTTATTAATTTTTTTAAATGTCACTTGGTTTTAGGCGACTCCTAACGGACCTGCTTGGTGTTGGTGGCTTCTCGCAGTTCTCCCCGTGGACCCGCGATACCAGCTGTCGGTGTTATCAATGAAGTCTCTGAAAGAGCGGCTGACAAAGATACAGCATATACTGACCTATTTTTCCAGAGACCAGTCCAAGTGACTGACTGCGCAGGTCTCCCTTCGACGTCACCCTGACCTGGCCGCGTCGACGGCCGGGTTGTCCGCTGCCTTTGCACACCCAGTGCTGGTCTGAGAAATGTTAACAAAATTCTTGTGGTTTTTTTTTTTTCCTTCAACCTCCAGAATCATGTGGTTCTGCAAATGAATACCCTCAACTAGGATTTAGACCACTAAGAACTTGCACAGAGAAACACACAGCAATGTGTGTTCAACCTCCACATGGTGACGAAGTTGCACTATGTACCATATTCTGAAATGAAATGAGAACTCTGTGTGTGTGTGTGTGTGTGTGTGTGCGTGTGTGTGTGTGTGAGCGCAAGTGTGTGGGTCGTATGTGTGCATTTTCTCTGGCTTTAAGATTTTAAAAGAAAAAAAAAAGCCATAGAGAGCAGAACTTGCCGAGGGTCACTTCCTGCCCGAGTTTACAGCAACAGTGATACAAGTTTTGGCAGATAGACTTTGCCTCCGATTCTCCGTCCTGATGCTTATATTTGCACACGTGTGTAAACTGTGGTATTGAGTGTCGTTCTGTTGGGAATCCTGCTCTTGCTGAACTGTCTCGACCATTGACTATGACGCTTTCTTATTTATGTAAATACTTGCGGCCCAGTGGCCGCCAGGCCCTGGGGGCAGGTCCCAGAGCCAGTTTTCAGGAACAGTTGCAAACCTGACACGGTACTGTGCACCTACTCATAAAACACTTAAAACTGTGAAACTATGGTTTACATTTAACTGTACATAGAGGTAAATGGAGAACTCAACTCAGTACCAGTTTAGTTTGTACATTTTAGGAGCTTTCCACATCAACTGCCCATCTATGTAATTTATAGTTTGACATGATGTGTTTGTTTAAAAAAATTACATAGTTTAAACCCATTAAGGATCTGAGGGAAGAGAAGCTTAATGTAGAACTAAGCTTTTAAAGTATGTTTTATTTCTTAATTCTGGTCTCGGTGCAAATGTTAGTTATGCCTTATTCACCATAATTAGATCGCCATGCCGCGACATGGTTTATATTCATGCTGCCCTAGATACTTTTGTAATTATTTGTTGCAGACTTATAACTCTCCCTATTAACTTTCTTTTATGTAAGTAATTTGTAAAAGTTTCTGGAAAATTTGCTTTTGCTTATTTAATTTTGAATAAAAGCTAAATTCATAATAAACATTTTCTTAAATTTTATTTAGGTCAGTGAAAAAAAAAGTAGAGGAATCACACTGCATAATAAAAGAACAGTGTTTTCCTTGTGGTTTTGTGCCCTGAGACACTGAACACTAGCTTCCCTGAAACTTCTTTTGGTCGAGTTTTTACCAAACAGTGCAGGGTCTTGAGAAACTTGAGGCCCTTTGACCCAACCTCTAAAGCACCGGTTTTCAACCTCTTAGAAACCCAGAGCCCTTTGGGATCCATCCCACAAGAGGACATAACCCTGGGAATCAAGTCAGACATGAAGGAAGAGACAGAGAATGACAGAGTCGGGCTTCAGTGCCCCACTGTCATTGTGGACAGGTGTCCCCGACAAAAGTACTACCATGGCAACGATGACTTTAAATGACACACTGGCTCAGATGGACTTCATTGATACGCACAAAACATTTTATCCCAAAGCAGCAGAATATACATTCTTCTCAAGTGCATATGGAAGATAGACCACATGTTAGGATGCAAAATTCATGTTTCCAAATCCAAGAAGACTGATGTCATATCAAGCATCTTCTCTGATCACAAAGGTATGACATTAGAGACCAAATACAATTAAAAACTGACATTTAAATGTGGAGGCTACATAGCGTGTTATTAAAGAATGAGTGGGTTAGTAATGAGATCAAGGAAGGAATAAGAAATTACCTAGAGACAAATGAAAATGAACACAACCCCAAATTCGTGGGACACAGTGAAAGCAGCCCGGACAGGGAAGGTCATAGAAATACAGGCCAACCTCAAGAAGTGAGAGAAATCTCAAATAATCTAACCTCACACCTAGAAGAACTAGAAGAAGAACAACAATGCCCAGAGTGAGGAGAAGGAAGGAAATAATAAAGATCAGAGTGGAAATAAATAACAGAGACAAAAAGTGATGCAAAAGATCAATGGGACCCAGAACTGGCTCTTCGAAAAGATAAACAAGGTTGATGAAACTTGAACTAGACTCATCGTGAAAAAAGAGATGACCCAAATACAACCAGAAATGAAAGTGGAGAGAGAACATCACAGAAATACAAAGGATCCTAAGTAAATACGATGAACAACCATGTAGCAACAAATTGGGCAACCTGGGTGAAATGGATACAGTTCTACAAATAGTCTTCCAAAACTATCAGGAAGAATCAGAAAACTGGAATAAACTATTACAATGAGTAAAATTGAAGCAGTAATCGAAAACCTTCCAATATGCAAAAGTCCTGGATTGTATGGCTTCACAGACAAATTTTACCAAACATTCAAAGAATTAACACCTATCCATTTCAAACTATCCCAGAAAATTCGAGAGGAGGGAAGACTTCCAAGTTCTTTTTACGAGACCAGCGCTATCCTAATCGCAAAATCAGATAAAGACACTATAAAGAAAAAATTACAGGCTCATATCCCTGGTAAATATAGGTGCCAAGATCTTCAACAAACTATTAGCAAACTGGATCCAGGAATATATTAAAAAAGAACATACACCATAATTGGGATTTATTCTAGGGATGTAAGATTGGTACAATATTCATAAATCAATAAAAGTAATACGTCACATAACAAATGATCGTATTAATAGATGTAAGAAAGTCAGTTGAAAAAACCCAGCATCCATTTATGATAAAAACTCCCAGCAAAGTGGGAATAGAGGGGTCGTACTTCAACATAGTAAAGGCCATATATGGCAAACCCACAGCCAAGATACTCAATAGGCAAAAAATTAAAGTGTTTAATATTTGGAACAAGACAGTGATGTCCTCTTTCTCAACATAGTACTGGAAGTCCTAGCAACATCAATTAGACAAGACGTAAAAGGCATCCAAACTGGAAAGGAGGGAGTAAAACATGATTCACAGATGACATGATATTGTGCATAGAAAACCCTGGAGACTCCACCAAAAAACTACTCGATCTAATAAATGAATTTGGCAAAGTAGCAGGATACAAGATTAGTATTCAGAAATTGATGGCATTTTTAAACACTAATAATGAACTATCAGAGAAATTAAGAAAACAATCTCATTTACTGCTGTAACAATAAAAAGGTTCCTAGCAATAAATTTAACCAAGAGTTTAAAAGACCTGTACTCAGAAAATTATAGGATGTTGAAGAAAGAAATCGAGAGATACAAATAAATGGAAGCATATGCTTCACTTATAGATTTAAAAATTAGCATTATTAAATATCCATACTACCCAAAGCAGTCTGTAGACTCAACACAATTCCTATTAAAACACCCATGACATACTTCACAGATCTAGAACAAAAAAGACCTCTAATATCCCCAGCAATCTTGAGAAAGAAGAAGAAAGTTGAAGGTATCACAATACCTGATATCAAACTATACTACAAGGCCATTGTAATCAAACAGCCCGATACTAAGGCATATAGATCAATGGAACATAGCAGAGAGCCTTGAAATAAACCCAAGCTTTTAAGATCAATATTCAACAAAGGAGGCAAGAGGAATAAAGACAGTCTCTTCAATAAATGGTGTTGGGAAAATTGGGTATGTCAAAAATGAGACTAAACCACTAACTCACACCATACTCAAGAAACAAATTAAAAATGGGTAAAAGATTTAAACGTAAGTCACAAAACAATAAAAATCCTAGGAGAAAACATAGTAAAATTGCAGAGATGTGGCAATATTTCTGCCAGTGTATCTCCTTGGGCAAGGGAAACAGGAAAAAAATACAAAAATGGGACTACATCAAACAAAAGCTTTTGTACAGCAAAAGAAACCATCAACAAAATAAAAAGACAGCTCACTGAATGGGAGAACATATTGGCCAATGATAAGTCTAAACAGGGCTTAATTTCCAAAATATATAAAATACTTACACAATGCAACACCAAAAAAATACCAATCCAATTTAAAAGTGGGCAAAGGACCTGAATAGACACTTCTGCAAAGAAGATATACAGATGGCCAGTACACAGATGAAAATCTGCTCAATATCATTAATCATCAGATATACAAATTGCAGTGTTATTTACAATAAGATCTGGAAATAGCCCAAGTGCCCATCAGTAGATGTGCAAAAAGCTGTGGTACCTTTTCACAGTGGAATATTATGCAGCCATAAAAAGGGAGACCTTACCTTTTGTGACAGAAGGGATAGACCCGGAGTTTATTATGCTAAGTGAAATAAGCCAGTCAGAGAAAGACAAATACCATATGATTTCACTAACGTGGATTTTAATGAACAAAACAAACTGACAAAATAGAAGCAGAAACATGGATTCATGGAACAGGCTAACAGCTGTCGGAGGGGAGGATCTGGGGCCCAATGAAAGAAGGCGAAGGGATGAGCCAAGAAACATAACACACAGACACAGACAACAGTGCTAACCAGAGGGGAGGGGTGGGAGATAGGGGGAGGTGGGCAAAGGGGTGAAAACAGGGACAGAAAAAAACTTTGGGTGATGGGCACATGATACAGTGATCAGAGGACGTTTTACTGATTTGTACACTGAAATCTGTGTGGTTTTGTAAACCAATGTCGCCCCAATAAATTCAATTAAAAAATAAGAGTTAAAAATTCCATGTTCCTTTAGGATAAGGATGAATACATGATACCCATTGGGGATTCCTCTTCATTCAACGGACTTGACCATTTCAGTCCCCAATTTCCCAGCTAGGATTTTTCAAATAGAAACAAATCATCTTTTAATATTGAAGGATTTTTTAAAATGTATTCAGAAATGACTGCCTGGAGGTGTCCTCTACATCCTCTGCCGCCTCTGTTACGCCGATTGGGAAGCTAATGTGTTCATTCATTCTGCAGAAACCATTGTCTAAAGCCTGGGTCACTCCCCCAAGGCCCTTATCAGTAGTTTCTGATGTGTTAGATGAGACTTTCTTTTAATAAACTACTAAATGCCTGCTAAGTGGTGTCCGGCACTAGAAGTTACATGTATAGTTCTCAA